TATTATAATAAAATCTGCAAACACAGCAGATACCGCTACTTTCCATTTGAGAAGAGAACCAGAGAGCACTTCCATGTCCTCTACGCATCAGAAGCGCCGAGCCAAACCGAACATATATATCTGTTCTTTGTATATTTGCCTTTCCATCCAATATGCCAAAGCTAACCCAATAAAACAAAGCATAATAAGCATATGCAGTACTGTACTACCAACACATGTAGCCCCCCTGCATCATTACTCTTTGGTCATTTTCTTCCGACTTTAATGTACTCATTCACTACAAAGCATAGCTAGCTGTGAAATCAAACATGAATTAAGCCAATCTACTCTGCACCCTAATTAACATGGACGTTGGAGCCAAGCAATACTTAAAAGTACCTGCAATTAATACTTGTAGTTTTCTGTATTGCCATCTCTCTATTCACTCCTATAAATTTGAGCTATCATTATAAATTATTTGAAATCATAATTAGAGATTAAGTTTTAAACATAGATTAGTAGCATTTTAGTCTTACAATTAATCATATAATTTTCAAAGAAAATTCAAATTTTAATAAAATTTTTCGAAAGAAAAACTTAAATAGCTTAATAATAATTTTTAATCATAAATATATTTTATAAAATCAACAACAAGATTCGAATTTCTTAACAACTATAGTGATTATAAAAATATGATTAAAATCTACCTTTGCACATAATTTTTTTATAAGAAAATATGAGAAAAAATGTTTTAAATTCATCTAGGAACTCTGATCCATGAGCAGTATAATTTTTTAATTAATTGACTACATATAAATTTAAAAAAAAATGAAACACTGAACGCATAAATTTAAAACAAAAATCCCCACACTAATTACAATAACAAATCAACACATTCTAGAATATTACAAACACGTGATAACAATTTATAAATCATCCAATAAGCTCCTAATTTATATATATGCCCCTTCAATCACGTAAGTAAAATTTTCTGGAGCCTTGAGATTTTCGTAATCCAAACTCCAGAGTAGAAGCTCTATATATGCAGATACGTGCCGGATAGATGGAGATGGGCCAAGTTGTTCTTCCCACGAGAGGAGAGGGGACCTTCTTGGAGTGCGACAAGTGAGGGCTGGCCCGGTTAGCAACTTTAGTGAGCCTTGGTACAGAGCACATGTTATCGAAAGAGAGAGAGAGAGAGAGAGAGAGAGAGAGAGAGAGAGAGAGAGAGTTTTGATTAGCTATTAGGTTTGCCATTTGATTGATCATTTAAGGGACCACCCGATGCTTAGCTTCAGCTGCATCGTAGAACATACTGCGTATATATATGAGATGATAGAGATGGTACGTATGAAGATGATATAATATATACATAGGTGAACTTCGAAGGCGACCTGTGCACAGTAGGGAGCAATTAGGACTGGTAATAGGAGTGGGCGCGGGCACGGGCACCTGCATGGGCCCCATGCAACGTGTAGGTGCTTTCCTTGCTAGGGTTTGGCCCTGATCTTCTCTCTAGTTCATGTTGGAGATTCGGTAATGGAGGTCCATTTCTTTCTTTTGTTTTATAGTCAGAATTGTTATCATGTATTATTTTAGTGCGACTCTGCAGGGTAAAAGTGTTGACGGGTGAGTAGGAACAATTCAGATTTGTTTTTTTTTTTTTGGAAATTTTGGGGCGTAAAGCCCATATCATTGCATAAAAAGATTACAAGTAAGTAATAAAGAAAGACTATAATCCAACAATCTCAAACAACAAAAGAGATTTTGGATTCTAAAGAAAATGAAAATACAAATTGAACCAAAATTTGTAAGACTAAATGGCGAAACGCCGTGGACTCAGAAATATGCTCAATTCTCGAAAGGGTCTAAAGATTGCTTGGGACATAAAATGAGCGTAGCCCCGGGTTGCCCAGAAGGCCGTCCAAGGGGTAGCTGAAAAATTTCAGCATTCATCATCGTCCAACAAAAAATGAGATCCCCAGCAAACTGGTTATGCCAAGTATCCTTCAGTTTACTCAAAAAGCTCCAGTACATAGTCATCAGGATAAAGAATGGCAAGCACAGAACATGCGAACCAGCGGTTTCCAGCTTCCAGAATATATAAAGTAATGCTAATTCCAGGTGAGAGACTTATACAACACAGCTTTCTTGATTTTAGAAAGAATGGTGACATTACAATCAATAATGCCACCAAATAGTCTGTCATTTCTCGCTCTCCAAACAAAGTAAATCGTAGCTGAGGCAGTGAGTAAATAGTAATTTCTAATTTTAGTGTTGAAACCTTGTTCCCAGATACAATCGTAGAACTGATGAATGTTTGGCCTCATAAAAAGTTGATGCAGCCAAGGGAAAAGAGTTTTTGCAATATCAAAAGTAAAACTGCATTCAAAATATAGACACTACAGGAAAAACGTCGAAATCCGACGGTTTTTCCGGTGGTTACGTCGGTGGCTGGTCGGACGAGCGTAGGCGACGGCAGAGCGAGCGACGACCAAGAGAGAGAAGGAAAGAGTAAAAATGAAATGCGAGGCGCGGGGCTGGTCGTATTAGGGCTTCTACCGGCGGTTTTCCGGCGGTCTGGACCGCCGGTAAAAAATCACTTATCAACGGTAGTCCAAGACGCCGGTAAACCGCCGGTTCATATTGATGTCCGGCGGTTTACCGTCGGTTTAGGGACCGCCGCTATTACCAGCGGCTTAACGTAGCAAAATCATCGGTTCGGCCGCCGTTAAAAGCCGACGGTTAGACCGCCGGCTACGCCGCCGGTAAAACTGGCGATCCATGAACCGCCAGTTAGAACCGCCGGTAATGGGCATTTTTCCTGTAGTGAGATGTGTAATAGTTTCCCTATCTCTATGGCAAAAACAGCAAATGTTAGGTACCAGAATACCACGAACAGCAAGTACGTCCGCATTTTTTAAACCCCCACGGAAAGCCAACCAAGCATATACAGAAAATCGAAGTGCATCTTTCTTATGCCAGATAAACTTGTACCAAGGAACCTTGATCATATTATCATAAAACTGGGCATTAAAATCCCTAAAATTTGGATTCTGCTTATCTTTCCAGAGATGGTTTTCACTGTGAGAATCAATATTAACAGAGTTAATAAGAGAAAGCAGGTTACTGTCCAGGCCATTAGGAAGATGCCACTTATCGTTCATGATTAGCTGAGAAATATTCCAGTCAAACAGAGAAGAATGACTGGAATTAGAGTTTGTACAAGTAATTAGCTCAGCCAATGAATTACCTCCACACCAAGGGTCCCAACCAAAAGAGAAATTGCTATTAGCATTAACAGAAAAACTGATGTTACTTTGAATCTCTTTTGCTTTAGCACTCATAAGATTCCAGTAAAGAAAATTTTTACTGGCATTTGGCTTCCACAGTGATCTGAATCTAGCTCTCCACCATGAAAAAAGAAGAGAGTTTTCATTTAAAAACCTCCATATATTTGAGCAAGTATAGCTATGTTTAAGAGACTCAATCGAAGGGATACCCAGCCCCCCATTTATCTTTGGACAGCAAGTGTTATTCCAGGAAACAGTAGTAAGTTTTCTTTCATTGATCTTGCCATAAAATGTAAACCTGTAACAAAGCCTAGCAATAGTTTTGCAGCAACGTTTAGGTATAATAGAACCCCTTATCCAATAAGCCAAAGTATTGGATATTGTGAATTTAATAAATTGGATTCTCCCGGCTAATGAAAGAGTTTTAGCCTTCCAGCCTTCAAGATGATTTGTGATTTTCTGTAACAAAGGCTGGAAATCACTGAATTTCAGTTTTCTGTAGAAGATTGGTAATCCCAGATATTTAATAGGGGAGAGAGACTGTTGTATGTTGAGTATATTGCAAATATCTACAACACTCGGAGTGTTTTTAGACAGAAGAATAGAACTTTTCAGAGGATTCACTTTTAGCCCAGAAACAGTCGCAAAATCCTGAAGAATATAATTGATAGTATACGCATTCCTAGTAGTGGCCGAGCCAAACACTAGGAGATCATCAGCAAACATTAGGTGTGAGACCACATAATTCCCAGTTTTGATTACTAGCAGAGCATTGTTGGAAGTCGCAAGGTCCAAGAGAGAAGACAGTCCATCCATAATGATACTGAAAAGGTAAGGAGAAAGTGGGCACCCTTGTCTGATTCCAGAAGTAGAGTTGAAATAACCTTCAAGCACCCCATTAATGCAGATAGAGAAGTGGACGTTGGAGGTGCAAGCTTTGATCCAATCAATAAACAGAGGAGGGAAGCCTTTAGCTTCAAGGCGTTTGTAAAGAAAATCTCTAGAAACCATGTCGAAAGCTTTAGTAATGTCAAATTTAGCATAGAGAAACTTGTGCTTGGCATTAAGATTGAAACAACCAAGAATATCAGACGCCAAAAGAATGTTATCAGAAATGATTCTCTTATGGATAAAACCAACTTGGCTAGGATGGATGATAAGGGGCATCACCAACTTCATCCTATTAGCTATGATTTTATAGATAATGTTGCAAAGAGCTATGGGTCTATAGTCTTTGACATTGCTAGCATGTGGTTGTTTAGGAATAAGTGCAATGGCAGTAGCTTTCACCTGATTAGGCATATAACCAGTGCTGAAGAAAGAGGAAACTGCTTTGTAGAGTTGATGATGAATGACACTCCAAGTTGCTCTGTAAAAATCAAAAGTAAAACCGTCTTGGCCGGGAGCAGAATTAGATTTGCTAGCAAAAACTATCTTTTTAATCTCATCCAAGGTAATCGGTGCAATAAGAGAGGAGGTAATGTGTGCCGGAATGACACTTCCAGCAGGGATTTCCTTATCCAGCAGCATAGGAGCAGGTGAGTTAAAGAGAGAATTGAAGTGATTGATGAAAACTTTAGCAATATCTGCTTGAGTAGTGAAGGTGCCTTGGTCATTTGAGATTGCCTTGATCCGATTGTAGTTTTTGGTTATATTGAGTTTAGAGTAGAGGAACTTCAAATCATCTTCACCATGAGTCATCCAATTAACCTTAGCTCTTTGGGAAATCTAACTAGAGAGAGCAGCTTGATTGTGAGCTAGGTTAGTGTTGATTTGATGTAGTTTGCCATTAAGGTAATGATCCAGAGGGTTGGTTTGAATTTGAGCAAGAACGGAATGTTGTAGATCTTTGAGAGTGTCAATTTGAACTTGGATGAGATTAGAGTTGGTCCATTTTTTATGCTTCATAGAATTCTTTAGAGACTTAAGCTTGAAGTTGAAAGAGCTCAAAGGACTACTCTTGTTGGGCAGAGAAAAAGCCTCCATAAGGAAACCCCAAAAATCTGGAAATTTGGTACAATAATTCTTGAAAAGGAAGCGGTGCCCACGTTTGTTATCATCTGAATTAACCAAAATGAGAGAAGAGTGATCAGAGCAATCGAGATCTTCAACGATATAGTAAGAGTTGGGGAAATTGTGTAGCCAATAATCATTAACTAGAACACGATCTAGTTTAATATGGATTGGATTGTAAATTTGCTGGTTGTGCCATGTGTAAAAGTGTCCAACAGATGAGAGGTCATGAATTCCAGCATTGAAAATCATGCTATTAAAATCTCCAAGCTTGGTAACATAAAGGGCAGTGCCTCCCTCCTTTTCCCCCAACTCACGACAACAGTTAAAGTCTCCCAAAATAGCCCAGGGAGTGTTGACGGTCACAGCCAAATCTTGAATATTTTTCCATAAAATTTGTCTCTCTGAATGGGAGTTACTAGCATACACAGCAATGACAGCATAAGCGTCATTAGAGTCAGTAGTAATAGTACCATGTATAAACTGATTAGTCATGTGAAGTGGAGTAAAGTGAAGGGCATCCTTATTCCACTTAACCCAAATACGTCCAGGATTGGAAAACAAAAAATTGTCACAATTTCCTTATATAGAGAAAATTTGATGATTAACAAGGAACCAATCATTATGAAAGTTGTTTTGGGTGATTTTTGCTTCTAGGATGAAGAGGAGCTCAAGATTGTGGATTTGGACTAGGTTTTTTATAGCTTTTTACTTTGTCCGGGTTGTTAAACCCTCTAATGTTCCAAGCTACAAGGTTAGGGGGGTTCATTGGGATTTATGGTTGGGTGTAGATGCCTTTTTGGCTTGTTTGCCTCTGGTTTGTTTATGGTGTTGATTGGTAGAGTTTTGGGCTTTGGGGGTATTGGAAGTGGAGCTTGTTGTATCGTTGGAGGTTGTGGGAATATTAGGCTGGTGATTACGGGGAGAAGTATGAGGTGGGCTTTGGTGGTTAAGGATGGGAGTGTCATTGACAGTGGAAGTGTGTTTTGCCTTGGTGGGGGATTGAGCTTGGGTTAAGTTTTGAGAGTGTAGGTGCACATCATCATTCTTATCCTGTTTGAATAAGGACTGGAATTTGTTGGCTGTTTTTATAGTTAGAATGTCTTGGGCATTAGAAGGGGGCTCAAAAATTTCTATCAGTTCTCCGGAAGGGGAGTTAAGGTTCAGAATGATAGGACCAAAAGTAGGAAGATTGGTAAGAGGTTGGACGGGTGGCTGGGGAGGTAAGGTATTGTTATTAGTTTTGTTGGGTGGTGGGTATTTGGGTATAGTGAGCCTGGGAGGAGGAGAAGGTCGTGGTTTGCGACTAGAACTTCGGCCCCTGATATTCGCATTACTAGCAGGTTTTATTATGGGATCTTTAGGACAAAGAGAGGGAGGGTGCATGATAGAGCCTCATTGTGAACAATGATCTGGTTTCCAATCGTATTGAACGCGTAGGGGTGAGACTTTGCCTTCAACATTGAAAAAAATTTCCTCTGGTAATGGCGATGAGCTAGTGACTTGCACACATGCACGCGCAAATGTAAGACGAGTTTTTGCTGCAGTTGGAGCATCCACAGCAATAGGTATACCGATACAACTAGCGAGTTTAGATATACCTTCCGGTGTCCGGAGAGATAGGGGAAAGTTCAGGATTTTAACCCACAGAGGAATAGATGGAAATTCCTCACGCTTTGGCACAAAATCGGGTGACCACTTCTGCTAGATGAAGGGCTTACTGAAGAAGAACCATGGGCCTCTGGTCCACGCGAACTCGTAGTCTTCTAGCGCAGAGAATTTAAGCAAGAAGAAACCGTCATCCATGGTAAGAAGAGAGATTTTTCCTTTGAGCTGCCAAGTCCTTTTGATCATCGAGAGCAAGGCTTCGTAAAATGGTCGTTTCCCAATGGAATAACCGACCAGCAACAGTGTCCATTCCGGCACACCTGCGACAAATTGCTCCTCAGTGAAGTTGGTCGTGAAGTTTTGGGTGGGAACAAAGCCAAGCGAATGGGAGAAGTCAGTAAAAATTTGGGGTGCGGAAGTCAGAAGGTTCTTCCAAAGCGGCAAAATGGAAGGGATGTGGTTTGATGAAGGAGTAGCGGAGGGAACTCTTCAACGGACATGGAGGAAAAGCCTCCCGCCGGAGGTGGCGGCTGAAGGGGAGCAAACTAGGGTAACCAAAAACCCTAGCAGAGCGAGCACCTTTAGGTTTTTTTCAATTCAGATTTGTTAATGGGTTAAAATGTTTTGTACGCAATTTATTTGAATTGAGTTAATAAAATCATGTTGTTATTTTGATTAAATTTTAAAGTATATAAACCAAAGAGATATAAGTTTTCTCAAAAAAGTATTGAAGGGTTGTATGATTTGACGAAAAATGAGTATAAGATATTCAAAATATATACAAGAGTTTTAAAATTTTGATGTTTGTTTTTGGGAAAAGAAATGAAAATTAAAGTTTTGGTGTAGTCCAAATTTACTCTGTAATTATTCATTTTTTATGAATTCAAAACTCATATGCTTTTAGCTAACTCTACTCTCATCATAAGCTATCGTCTGTTGTCATCTCCTGTCACCACCAACCCCTAGCCATCACTAATGGCCACCAACGACAGCCACTATTGCCAACCATCTAATGTGTAATGCCATCAATCTAAATTGGAAGAATTGATTCATATTTATTTTCTAAATTCTAATGAATTCAAAAATCTTTTTTTTTCTGTTAAAACCCACAGAGGGGCCTACGTGTTAATTTCAAAAAAGATGTTACACAGTCCTTAGAAGAGACCTCCAGCTTGCTAAGGCTCAGAAGAGCTACAAAAAAATTCAAAATAAAACCTAAAAGCCGGTGGTCCCTTTTTCTACAAAACAAATAAGAGAAAAAGCTAGGGCTGCGAGTAGACAGCACCCAAAAAAGGAATAACATATTAATGAACTCGTTCAGCGCAATCTTCATGCAAAAATAGAAAGCAAAAAGCCAAAATTTATGAAGATAATAGGACGTATTCACCTTGCTAATCTTGAGCTTCCAAAGGTCAGTGAAGAACCACCTGTAGAAACAACTCCAAGACACGATGTTAGCAGGAACATGATAATTGCAGCAATCAAACCAGTCATTATGGACCCTTTGGAGATGGATGGCAGAACTAAACAAGATAAACCCTCTAAGATAAAGCTGAGAAGTCTTAGCAACAGAAAAGTTCCATTTAATCGCAGTGATAATCGTAGGCAAATCATTCATAAAAGCTTTTTTATAACAAATACAGAACCTCATAGGTAACCCCCAAAAACTCAGCTCAAAGATAAGCTTACTGATATTCTCCTCTATTATATGAAAATGAAAAGATTTAAAGGAAACATTATGATGCAAGATCGGGTAAAGCACCATAAGAAACAGAAAACCGTTGATCAGCAGCATGCAAAAGTTCCACCTAAATAGCGCCCCTTTAGAACCATAAAATTGCTCCAGAAAACCCGTAAAAAATAAAAACTTATGAATCAAAACAACCTGAAGCATCCCAAAACAGAAACCAAAATACACCCTCACACAGGAGAGACAAGTGGTAAGCAACTCGGACCAATGAGAATTCCAATGAAACGCCCAGAAATTCATAACAAAATACAAATTCAGCCAAGCTTCAAAGTCAGAATAGAGGGTAAGATTAATACCATCTTTCCAATAACAATTACGAAAACCAAAAATCTTCCAGTCGTTCATGTTGAAATACATGGGAGTAGAGGCAGGATACAAAATGTTAACAAATAACCAAGTAGTATCCAAAGTAAAATAATCATTTAAAACAAAATGAATAACATAAAGAGTAACAATGACAGTAATGATAAAAATATAATCCAACAGACAAGGAAAATCCCAATTCACCATATGGCAGGTAATCATAAAGAGATAGAACTTTGAATTCTTAAGATACAACAGAGCAACAAGACACCTAACAGAGCAATGCCAAGCCAAAACCAGAACAGGACACCAAAAATCAGAAGGGCAGAGTGATACAATCATGAAATGAACATCAAGACAAAACCTCTAAAGAAACAGATAAGAAAATCCACAAAACCTCCATAAACAGATTAATGATTACGAAGATAGGGAAGACCCATTCGATCAAGTCTAACAAACCCTTTTGTCTCTTTAGGAATAGTTCGTTCATCATAATCAACAAACTGGTTAAGAGAACAACCCAACTTGGCTAACGAATCCGCAGTATCATTCCCTTCTCTGTAAATATGAGTAATTTTAAAATGAATCCGGGAGAGGACATTTTTAATGTTTCTGATAATGTAAAAACTTTTTGGATTAGAGGAAGTGTTACCATTGAGATAATGAATAATAAGCATGGAATCAATTTCAATCCATAGATTAGAAATACCACTAGAGATTGGCTAAATGGACACCAAAAAATAAACTTTCTAGCTCAGCTAGAATAGCATAAGAGGCATTCAAATGGCCGGCAAAAGCAATGATAACCATCCCCTTAGAATCACGAATGATACCACCACAACCCGCAACATTAATACTTATAGAACCATCAGTATTAAGCTTAAACCAGCCCATATCAGGTTTCTTCTAGTAGATAATTCTATCACAGCACCTTTTAGAAAAGGGAGTTACAGTCACCCCAAACTCACTGGCTAACTGATGATAGCCTTTAAAAGAATCAGAAGTTAACAAATTGGCAACAAAAAGTTGGGTCACCTTAAATTTCACTTTAGATATTACAATACTAGCCTCCATTTTGATGTTCTCATGCTTGGAATTGTTCTACTACTCCAAATAAACTAACATATTAAAACAGGAATAATGTTGCAAATATGGCCTTTAGTAGTAGTGAACCAAATCTTAAAAACGTCAGCCATAGAAGTGATTTGAGAATAAGTACAAATTTTAAACAAGCTATCAAAATAAAGCCAAACTTTCATAGCAATAGACCCTTGTTAAAAAATATGAGTAATATTCTTAGTATGACAAGAGCAATGGCATTTAGAAACAATGTAAAGGCCTTTTCTTATAAGAATAGAGTCCATAGGCACATAATTCTTTAAAATCCTCCACATAAGAAAGGAATAAGTCGAAGGGATACTAAGATTCCAATAAGCAGCAAATAAATGATTTCTGGGCAATTGATTTTTAATGGAATGCCAAAGTTGTTTAGTGTTAAACTTACCATCATTGGAACAATTGAACAAAATACAATCTTTACTCTCCATATTAATAGTAATTTTGCAAATAAGAGTGAGAATAAAGTTAGGAACAATATGCCATAATAATTCAATGTTCTAACCATCGTTACCAAAAAAATCCTTCACCTTACAAGTCGAAATAGAACGAGTATTTAATAGATTATCAATGGAAAAATTACCCAACCATTTGTCTTGCCAAAAGTAAATGTCACCAGCTCTCAACCCCCATTGTATAAAATCTTCAACTTCCATTTTGATTTTATATAATCTTTTCAAATTGAAAGTCTCCTTGTTTAAAAAAATAGTTCACAGGA